TTTGCAAAAATAGAACTACAGGGTGTCAATTTGTAATTGAGTGATACTATAAAATGGATTTATTCATAATTAACTTCCCCCCTGGTTAGCAACATGCATGTTAAGTGAAAATTATGAGTGAATATTAAAGTTGTCTAATGCAATATTATTTCAAAAGATTGTAAGGAGAGGGCTTTGAAGAGAATATGAGAGTTGATTATCTATGTGAGATTGAGAGACGAGAGTTGAGTGGTTCCTTTTATAGTTCTCCCTGATACATAGTAAATTTCTCGTATTGTTTTCCCGTGGACGTAGGTCGAAGTTGATCGACCGAACCACGTAAATCTCGGTGTTCTTTCTTCTTGATTGTGGTTATTTTTATATCTTATTAATTGTGGGTTGGCTTTCGAGTTGCGCATATTATAGTAGGCAAGGAGACTAAATTTCCCCAACAAGGAGCACGAAGGCCATGCAAAACCCTATTGACGGTGTTGAGATCTAAAAAGATGGGAGAAGTTCTATAGGAACAGTAGGCTCTGATACTGTGTAGAGAAAATAAAAAATATAGAAAATCATTATTCATCTAACCCTAATCTCTCTTAAATAGAGATGTGGAGGATATTACAAAATAGGTATGAGATAAAATCATATCTAATTAAATCTCATAGGATTCTGATATAATCTCATAATATATATATATATATCATATCCTACAAATAGCTAAGTGTTAATCATTGACGAGGAGCCAACACATATCCTACCTTAAATATATAATCAGCCATACTTTGGGAAGGACAATTTGAGCGGCGTCAACACTCGACCTTTCCTAATAAGGACTGAGTCGAAAGACGTCCTCACTCGACTCACCATTCAAGTTGACCCCGCTCCTCTTCACTCCACGAGGCCGGATTGACAACTTTCAAGACCGACTAAAAAGAGGGTACTTATCATCCCACTCGTAAAATCAAGATGAAAGGTGTCACTTGTCGACCCTCTTAGAGGTTGTGTACGAGCCCCCCCGCTGATAATCAGTTGCTATCACACTAAATGCATGATCAGAGTCATCATTTCTCCAGCCCCAAAAGTCTTTATGACTCATCTGACCTTATTAGCATTATGCATAGTCCGTCAACCTCACATTAAACATCTAGGTGACTCATCCCCCTATGTAGCCTATACCTGTAAAGTAACTACTAACTATGTTCTCTGCTTGGACTCGGCCAAACTTACAAAATTGCCCCTCTAGTCCTACTGTAACTAGAGGCACTTTCTACAGCACAAATGTAAGCTGACTTTGCCTAAAAAGCACTCACACTAAACTCTTCTTCTTCACTCAAGCTTATTACTGACTTGATTGTTGGAGGAACAATTGGAGAACCCAACTCCGATCCTCTAACGTGTTACAGTTTTGTAGGAGGCCCAACTATCTATCGGGGATCAACCATTAAAGGAGGTCAAGGGATCCCAATCTCTTCAAGATCAACCTCAAATCCGCTGTTGAGAACTTTCACATCAACAATATACTAAATCTACTAATACCAAACTATTAATAATATCTAACAATCTATTAACTCTATAAGTAAAGAGCGAACTTTGAAACAGAATATTATAGTTATGGCAACTAATCTCTTTAACTCTTCTGTATTTGCCAAACACAAGACACTTAACCTTTTATCTTCATTATCAAATCCATATAAAATTTAATTATTTTTAACCCCTCATGAAACTAAAAGTTGATCTTTTTCCTTAATTCTTCTCTCTTAAGCCATTGCCAAATGGTCAGTTTACCCTCAATAGGACTTGTTTAGTTATGCATAGTGCATAAAACCACCATGAGAACTCAACTGAGGAGCTAGAAATAATTACTATATAAGCTTAATAGTTGAAACATTAGGTTAAGGACTACTTAATTAAAAATGTTAATGTTGAGTTCCACAAATTTAAGTAGAAATTTCATCTTAATAATAGATGATTCACTTGATATTCTTAAAAGGACTATGTCACTGCAATAGACTCTGAAGTTGAGGCAATGGTTAAGGGTTATAGTTTTATATTCTAACTTGCCTCTTGCAGGTTGAGCGTTCTTTCTATGGGCTAAAATCTAGACATACACAGCGGTATCAACTTTTTTTAAGATCTACGCACCCTGTTAAAAGACCGTGTTATTGCACCAAAACTCTAAAGTTATGGTGAAGACTGAGAATTATAGTTTTATATATTCTAATAGATATTAGTTGACCACAGTCATAAAAACTAATGTGTGTTTGGCAACTTCAAATTTGAACTAGGATAAACTAATTTTTTTTTCTTAACTAGACAAAAAGCGGAACTATGTAAGGGTGGGTTCACAAACGAACTAGTTTAGGGCAAGATTTTGAACTAGAAAGAACTAGTTCAATTTTGATCTATTTTTTTTGCCACACTGAAAACAGATTTCGAACCAGTATTGTACCACTCAGCTAAGTTTCGTTGAGTTGCTGAACACACACCGAAAAGAACCCTTATGCAGCAGAATCTGTTACGTCCCGCTATGATCACTAAGCACTGTCATTTGCATTTTGGGGTTTGCACTAGCTGGTAGGTGGACCACTTAAGATTAATCAAAAGATGCATCTAGGTCACCAAAAATACTTATGATCTGCATTATGAGCTAACAAATTGCGCCTTTTCATTCGACCTTCAAGATGACGGATTACGAGTCGAAGGTACAGGGAACTATACTTTTAGGTGTTACTGATCATATTGGCTTAATTAAAAGCCGTAGGAAATGTCTACGCATAGCATCTTTTAATTAGCGTTTGGGTTTTGCGCAGTTTGTTTACAAGTATGGTGTTCCTAAAAGCATAGTTTGTGCAGATCATATGGTGTTCTCGCATCACAAATTAACCAATAGAAACAGTGTCACAAGCCCCATGCATAGGATAATTTCAAGAATAACTTTTGTTCTAGCAAGGAATCTAAAGGTGTGTATAGCTTTTTAAAAGCACACAAGATGGGCTGAGGCCATCACCATCATCGTTGTTCGAAGGTGTGGACGTAATTAGATTGTTAATGATCATCCCTTGGGTGAGAAGCCAGGACCCGTCGCTTGCTTTTGTTCCTCAGCCTCCTGTAAGAACTCCTATTTAACTATCAGTACTCGATATAAAGGGCGGTGAAAGGAGATAGAGGCTAGGCTAATATACTTGGATCCAACTAACAGAAAAGGATTATAACTATGTATATATGTACTTTTTTTTTGAAGTGTTTTCAATATGGTATTAAATCTCATCTCATGCTTTTTGGTATACCAAACTCAAAACATTAACTTTATGGTTGCCAGGATTCTCCTCGTCGAAAGTCCTGCTTGATCTCTAGCTAGCTTCTGGCTCCTTGGTGATGACCTCTTTTTGCAGATGATCGAGAGATTGTTTTGAGAGGTAAGTCGAATATTATAAAAAGAAATGTGATTCGAGTTTCAGAAACCAATGAAATTAACGGGTCAGGAGTATGAAATTTGCCCATCTCATTCAACTTTGGAATAAGGTGAGTCAACTTGTCGCGACTTTCTGGACTACGCAGACTTCATAATGGTTAAAAACAACTGAGTTTTTTACAAACTCCGATGGGACAAAAAATTCGACACAATGTGTATATATAATTGGGAGATAATCATTTTCTTCAGCTTGAAGAGAGTCAAATTCCAAAGAAAAATGTGTTTGATGTGCGAAAATCTACAGATTTGGCATTCAAATAGATATTCAACAACTTTCCATTTTTTGCCCAACTTCCTATATGAAGTATGTATACTTAGATGAAGAAACACTTCAAGAATGAGACAGCGTTTCATTCTTGAAAGAAATATGACTAGAGCTGTTTAAAACTATATTACATTGTAGAAAGAAATATAAGACGAAATTGAAAAGTAGGAAACAGCGTTTCACGTGATTGTATGAGAGAGAGAGAGAGAGAGAGAGAGAGAGAGAGAGAGAGAGAGAGAGAGAGAGAGAGAGAGAGAGATTTACTCAAAAGAAAACAAAGCTAAAGAGAGAACCAGATGTATTGCAGCAATCAGCTCTCTAATAATTGTCTGCTTTTCAAACTGGATGCCTTTTCTGCGTGCCCAAATCCAAAAGTATATCCCTCTTCAGACACTATGACCTTTGTGCTGTCTACACTAAAGCTCTCGTCAATATTTAATTTCCCATTATCATACCTTAATGATGGGTTAACTAAAAAACTATCAAAAAGCCATATCAAAAGGAAGCAAAAAAGCTGCATAATATCAAACCGAACAACATAAAAAAGAAATCTCACCATCCTGATCGTGAATATCCTCAAGGGTCAATATGAGCTTTTAGCATGTCTATGTGTGTCGCCTAGATATATTAAGGTACATTACAAAGTGGTATGGACAAGAGGGTATAAAAATGTTATTATAAGTAACATGAACGTACCCCTACTAGTAAACTTTAATAAAAGCATCTTTCAAACCCTAAGCACATATATACAAATTGAGAAGTTATACTGCATTCTCTCTCCTCTTACCTTGGATACCTAGCTACCTAGCTAATGAATGTGAAGCAAGGAAAGTCATATACAGAAAATAATTAGATACATCTTAATTTTTCTGTTATTACATTTTATAGAAACATAGACAACCCCTCTTTCAAGAATGGAGGAGATTAATAATCCACAAATTTTCCAGACTAGCTAGGATTACAAAACAAAAAACTAGCCACTTTGAAAACAAGAGCACATGTACAAGTCATATTATGTAATAAACACTTCAAAATAAGAGGAAACTAAACTTCCAAAGTTCGAAATGGAAAGTGTGAAAGTAACTTTTTTCTTGATAGGTGAGTGTAAGTCAAGAAAGTTGGAAATAAAGCTGAAATTCATGCAAGGCTATGCTTTATTCTATTAAAAATCCTTTTTTTTTTTGCTAACCATGAAATTCATTTACCTTTATTTTCTTCTGTACAAATTAAGTGCATGAATGCAATTTAACACTCTTATCTCCTAGCCAAACACCCTTCAGAGAATAAGAGAACATAAGATAGTTTATTACAAATGAAAATGTGACATTAATACAACAATAAATTCGAAGTAACATATATAAGTCTCTCCACCTCATGGGTGAGTACCTTATGCCCACAAAAATATTGATGCTGGTAACCAACTTCCCTCCCGTAGAGAGAGAAACATTGCCTTCTTCTTGCAAGCAAAAGAATATCAACTTAACCATCATTTTCCCTTCTTTTTTTTCCCTTTGGAAAAAAAGAATCAAGAGAGTAGAAAAGCCATGATCCTTACCATCAAAGCATTAGTTCCATGGTTTCTTGCCTTGTTGTGCTTGATCATAAGAGGATGAAGAGCTCATGCAATGATCCAATCCAGCCATATTGAGTATATCTCTGTGAGGCAATGCTCTAAGACCAAGAAAATCCCTAGTCATCTCCTCACCCCCTCCTCCTCCATTTATATTCCCTCCTTCCTCTTTACCTTGTGAAGCTCTCCCTAAGCTCTCCATTGCCTCACCAAAAGAACCATGTGGATCAAACCCGTTAGCCATCATCATCTCTTGATGGTGCGAAGACATCAAGCCAAGGCCAAACATAGAGGAAGAGACCGCATTGTTGGGGTTAGGAGAGTGATGGGCTGGTGCCATTTGGGCTTGATGGGTTGAAGGCCTGCTCATTGTTGCACCCATTTGAGCTGCCTTTTGAAGCAATGCAGTTGCTGACATGTGAGGATTAGAAATGGGAGGAGGAGGCAGAGTTTGAGGTATAGATTGAGCGGGGTTTTGATCTTGTGAATTGTTGTTGTATTCTTGAATGAGGTCCAAGTGGTTCAGTGATGTAGATGAGCTTTGAGGGCAAGAGAGCCAAGATGGGAACTCATTTTGGTTGCTTTCTCTCTTCATCATCATCAAATTAGGGAATTGAGGGAATTGGTTGTAATGAGATGGATCAAGAGATGATGTTTGAATTGTTGTTTGTGGAGGTGGAGGTTGAGAGAAGAGAATAGGGTGATGATGATTGGCTAAAGGATTGTTTGTAATGGCTCTTGCACTCTCTTCTGCTAACGCATCACAGAATGCTCTGTGGGTGATAAAGCTATCCCTCCTACAAAAACATAAAGAGTAGAGGAAGGGAAAACAACAAGTGAAGCAAACAAAAGAGCAGAAAGATACAAAAAGGGAGGAAAAGCTATGAAATGAGAGGAATAATAATTGGCAGTTGGAAATAATAAATGTGTCTGCTGGCTCAATGATTTCTGCACCTAGAGGAGTGTATTCAGCTATTCATTTTGTTCCTAGGCTTTTGTGAACTCACATCATTTAATGAAGCTCTTGATTTCCTAATAGTAGCATTATTTTCTTTATAGTTACTTGCTACCCATCTTCAAAAGCGTCTCACTTGATGAAGTAAGACTTGTTTATAATCTATCATCTTAACAATTCATCATTCAGTCAAAAATCTATATTGAGAATATCTCATTAACAACTTTTTAATGGAAAACAAGGGAGTTTGCTGTTAAATATTGAGAATAGGGTTACACACTAATACCCATGTTTACTTCTCTAAACAAACCTTAAAATCCTTTTTTTTATATAAATCCATCGTCAAGTATATATATATATAATTTTTATTAACAAAACACGAAATTAGAAATAAATTATATTATAATAAATATACAATCAAATACCTTGAAAAAAGAGTGCCACAGTCACATCTATATTCTCTAGTGCCACAAATCTTGGAGTGAGCTTTCCAATCACTCTGAACTGCATACTTCTTGGAGCACTTCTCACATTTCCACTTCTTTTCTCCATGTTTCCTACTGAAGTGCTTCTTGATTCCAGTGAGATCTCCAAGAGCTCTTGATGGATCATGGTGAACACAAGAAACCTCTGGACATATATAAACCTTCTTTCTAACTTCTTTATTGCTCCTTTGCTTCAATTTCCATGGCAAATTATGGCCTCTTCTGTGAAGTTGCAGGTTTTGATCTCTTTGAAATCCTTTGTTGCAGATCTCACACACAAATCTGTTGGTTGCCATCAGGGTTTTTGGAGATAGTGCTATTACTTCAGCATCTGGGTCTGATTGTACAGTGGTTAATTAGTTACTATACTAGTCATAATTAAATTAATGAAAAGGTAGGGAAAATTAGAAAAAGATGGGATTTTGATACCTGGGTTTCCTGGGAGATTTCTTTTCTTTTTGGCTGCTGGAGCTGGGTTTGGATTGGAGGAGACACTGCAGGCTTGATCTCCTGAAGCTGCTGAAGTGAGATTTGACATGTTCTCTTCAACTTGTTGCTGCTGAATTATGAGCCCTTTCATCATCTTGATGCTTAGTCCCTTTTTTTAGTGGAAAAAAAGGGGGGTGAAAAGATAGAATCTAGCTAAGGGCTGATAGGATCGAAATTAAGAGATCTAGGTTGTAAAGAACTACTCAAAGACTAACATGCATCTCTTGATATATACCACAAGATTAGGTGGGCAGCTAATACGTAATATGAACTTCGTAGATGACAGAATACTAGGAAAAAGAAGAACAAAACGGAAGTGGGTTTTGGATCTAAAATTCAAAAAAAGAAGAATAATTATAATTAAAAGTAAAGAGAGAGGAGTGAATGGAATTGCACCAAACCATCCACTCTAGCAGAAGGAGAGAAAAAAAACTAGCAAAGACAAAGGCAAGTTGCGCACATGAACAAAAATCTAGCAGACTCAATTCCCCTTGGGACTAATTTCTCAAATAAATGGAAGGGGAAAAAAAGGCTTGATGTTAGAGAAGATAAAGGAGGAGGCAAGAGAAGAATAAAGAGTCTCTCTATAGGTATGTGGATGAGGGATTCAGGAAGCAAGGGTGCAATTGTCCACCCATTCAATACCCACACCCTCTACAGCCCTACACTGATGTTGCACATTCTGTCTTTTCCTTTGTTCCCTTATGCGCAAATCTATAAATTCCTTTGCCCCTACCCTTTTCTTAATCTGAGCATAATCATTTTTTTTAACACTAGTAACAGTAAATAATTGTTAAATAAACCGCACGGCGTTAAGTGAGGCTCCTAAATTTTTATTATGTGGGTTATTTAGATATTATCCCCTCAAGTCTGGTAATGTTGATTTAGGACCTAACCCAAAAAATGAAGGTCTCACTTAAAATCTAGTAGAGGGACAAATTTTTAAGATCCCTTCAGATCGATTTCGAGGGACATACGAGCAATTTCAAATGTTTGAGGCACTAATGTCTAAAGAACCCAATTGCTTACACAGTAGGGCCCTGTACAGTTATTTAAGACATTTTTTAAATAGATGGGTGCATGCACTTCGCAATACAATATACAAACAAAGGTACATCCGGTTTCCTTTGTGGCTTGGGTTAGGTATCTAAGACATACACATTTTTGTAGATATTAGCTAGATTAGTGAATGATGACTTTGTGTTAAAAGTTGGAAAGATAGGGTAATAAAAGGAGAGCATGGCTTGAGAGAGAATGAAATGATGGGGTGTTGATGGTGGTAAAAGTAAAAGAAAAGCCAACCACAGAGGGGGAAAGAAAGGAACTTCTTTTAGCTTTCACATTTACATTACCATGATTAGGCAATTGATTGAAATTTGAGTAGCATATTCAGGTCTTTGTGTCATTGTTTAACGGGATTTCTTATGTGAACCCTTCTTTTTATGCAAAAGGCGAACGAGGAGAGCACCCAAAAAATGAGTGGTGATTTTATCAACTCAAGTTCAAGGACTCTGCAATTTTTGGTTTTGTTTTTTGGTTTTTTTTTTTTTTTGGGCCACTTTTGTATTTCCTAAATAAAAACATGGATAGAAAAGAAGGCTTTTTTTAGTAAATAACTACTGTATGAAGTTACGAGTATCTAGAAAAGGGTATTGGTCTTGTTAAGTATAGTACTGCATCAGACAGTTTACTTACTAACCAGACATCTACACATGGCACTAGCTAGATGACTAGTCTTGTGATAATTAAGAAATGAAAACTTAATTAAAATCAAATATTTTTTCGAGCAATGAGAAAATTCAAATATAATATGTTTATCTGTGGCCTTTAATTAAAACTATTTTTGTGTGCTACAGTGTAACAAAGAGGCTCAAGTTTTTCAACCATGCATATTGATTGAATAAAGTAATTGTTATGGCAAATTCCAAGGAATAGACTAATATCAGCAACACAAAAGTATGAAAAATATTGAGAATACAAATAACACATGGATATATATGTGTGGTTCAGCTTGCAACTTACATCCACAGAGAATGAGGAGAATAGTTTTACTAACAATTTGTGAGGAATACAAAGTGGAAATCTCTCAATCACTCATACCCTAATACACCCCAAAAGCCTAATAAAATTTCTCTTAAATAAAGGAACAAAAGAGAAAAATATCAAAAATGATTCACAAGAGAACTCTCTCTTCTTGATTGTTGCTCTGTAGATTGATGATAATTTAATTTTGGATGACCCTGTATATATATAGATCCAAAGGGCCAATTGCTTGCTTCTCAAGGAAATAGAATCATAGTAGGAATAGAATTTCCCATATAATTGATTATGTCAACAAATAGAATTTTAGTGTATATGGAATTCCTAATCATTATATATATATATATTATATATATCTAATATATATATATATATATATATATATATATATAATATATAATATATATATATATATATATATATATATATATATATATATATATTATATATTATATATATTTATATATATTATATATATATATATAATATATATATATATATAATATATATATATAAATATATATATAATATATAGAGAGAGAGAAGAAGAGAGACGAGCGAGTGAGAGCAGAAATAATGGAGAACCGCCTTGGTAAGGTTTGTATGTTGTGGTGTTATATTAGTATAGTATTATATATATTACTATATATATAATATTTTATTATATATATAATATAATATATACTATATATATATATATATATATATATATATATAACACACAGCACACACACACACAGTCATAAACATTGTTATTTATATGTAGAAGAGAGAAAAAATAGAGTATCTTGGTACGAAACACAAATTGTGTGGCTTGGTAACATGAGGTATCCTATTCCCCTCCCTCATTCTAATCTGCCAACCACTCCCACCATGTGAATGTGAGCCCTGATTTCAATGAGTGGAGGAAGACAATATGCTACCACTATCTAAGCATAAAAACTTGTGTTTGGTACCAAGCAATACTTATTTTTCTCATATATAATATTATATAATATATATATATATATATATATATATATATATTAATAAATATATATTTATTATATAATATATATATAATATATATATATTAATATCAATAATATATATATATATAATATATATATATATTGAAAAATGAGCTATGCTTGGTATTCGCACAAAAAAGTTGTGGGCTTGTAGTCGAGATGGTAATAATCTTAATCTTAAGCTACTCATTCAACGATGGTTGTATTATTACCACATAACCTTTCAATCCATATGAGGTCCCCCCATTTGAATAAGTGGTGGGGGATTGTTACCACCTCCCTATAAGCATAAAATTTGTGCTTGAATAGCCCAAGCATACCATTATTTCTCTCTGCTCGTCTCTCTCTCTGGCCATCCTCTTCTCTCTCCTCTCGTCTCTATATCATATATATATTATTTATATATTTAATATATATAAATATAAAATTATATATATTATATATATATATACTATTACTATATATCATAGTATATATATTATAATATATATATATATAACGTATATATATATATTAGCTAGCGAAGATGAGAGAAGCAGAGAGAGAGAGAGGAGAGAGAGGAGAGGAGAAATGAGTACTGATAGGGCTGGTGAAGCAGCATAAATATATTTGTGCTTGCGTAGTGGAGGATGCCGCCTCTTTCCGATCTCAACGATCACCAAAGTTCGCAGCATCCAATTCCAACCACCACTCCCTAACTCATGTGAATGTGGCCTTGGATTTTAATAAGTGGAGGAAGAATATGTGTCACCCCCCTCAACTACATAAAAAGCGACCAACTATGCGGAAACTTATGCTTGGTTAACGCCGAAACATACACTGATGCCCATTTTTATCCGATATATATATATATATATATATATATATTTATTATATATTATTTATATATTTTATATATATAATATATATATATACTAATAATATAATAATAATATATAATATATAGTTATATAAATTATATATCATTATTATATATATATACGTGGTATTATTATATGTATTAACGTACATAACATATATATATTATAAATTATATATACAATGTATATTATATAAATAATTTATAATATATATATATCTATTTTATATGTATTAACTATACATGTATATGTGTAAAACCACCAAAAAATTGAATATTTTGGTCGATACATAATATAAATAATGTATAATATTTCTAAAAACATATTATGATATTTGAGTATGCTAGGAATTGGTTTGAGATTAATTCAATGTATATACATATATATAAGAGCAAATGCACAATTCATGCTCGATGTAAAAATCTGGAAATTTATGACCAGCGAAGATATTTTGTATTTTACTCACAGATATAATTAGAATTTGGAAAATCTTAAAAGACAAAAGTTGTAGGTATCTTCAAGATCTTTCCAAAAAATCTTAGATCACCTCATTCCGAGATCGGACGTGAAAGTTATGGCCAAAATATCAAAGGTTATTTTTCTAGTCAGATTAGGATTCCTGGTTCGGGTCAAACGGGTTTATTTCGGGTTTGCATATATATAAACATGTGTTTTCACCAAAATTAATATCCTTACATTAGAGTTTCAAACCCTAGTAGCCCCTGTTCCTCTCTTTGAATCCCTAACCCTAAAGTTGAGAATTTTGAGAGCTTTGTGAAGCAAATATCGACACGAGGGCGAGATCATCAACGTGTAGCAAGGGGAAAACGACTTAGTTGCACTTCTTTTTGGTTGCTGGTTATTTTAGAGGCTTAGAACGATGTCTAAGGCAAGATTATCTTCATCCAAACCCTTTCCCATAGTTAATTAACTAGTTAGATATTTAATATGATGTTGAATAAGTGTTTTCATTCTTGAATCTTAACATGATGTGATAAAAGTTAAATTTTTGATGTTAAAACATAAACCAATGCTAGATTAGTAATTTTTTTTCTTGCTGTTTATGATAGTATCATGATCATGATCGTTAGGATTTTTCATAATTTCATTTATATATGAGAAATTTAAGAGATGTACTAAATAAATATTTTCTGCAAAAAACTGTAACAATTGTATCATGTTTAACTAAGATTTCAAAATAGAAATTAAATTCCAAATTTAACCAAAATAGTGCTAAATGAAAGATATATGTATCTAGTTTCTAAAACAGAAAACCATTCTTAAAAAGAGTTTGTATAGAGAAAGATATGTTATATTTACTAACAACATATCCTGCAGAAAAACGGATGCACATATATAATGTTTAACTGGAGATTTGGGATAACAAATGAACTCCAAATTTAACCAAATATGTCATTTGAAAGATGTGTGAATCTAGTTTACAAAACAGAAAACCATTTGTAAAAATAGTTTTCCTAGAGAAAGATATGCTTATTTTTCTAACAGATATCATGTCTATTTTTCTTGCTCGTTTTGTGGAGCTGTATTGCGCCGTTTTGAGGTGCGTTCGCGGAGTTTTGAGCCGCTTGATGTTACATGTTTATGTAGGCTGTCTAAAAATCACAATAGATAGCTGATCCTCATCAAAACACCGATGATGAAAG